CGCAGCCTCGACCTACTGGGCTCCAGTGATCCTTCCGCCTCAGCCTTCCAAGTAGCTAGAACTACAGGCACGTGCTAATATGCTTGGCTAATTTTTGATTTATTGTAGAGATGAGGTCTCGCTGCCCAGGCGGGTCTCGAACACGCGGGCTCGGGCAATCCACTCACCTCAGCCTCCCAAATGCGCGGGATTACAGGCTGAGCCACCGAGCCCGGCTTATCTATATTTATAATACAAGCTAAGAACCAGGACAGCACGATCCTATTGCTGACAGATATACAGATCCAGAGAAGATTCATTGTCCTAAAATATAGATCTCTCTATCACACGTTAGAATTTCCATCAGTATGTCTCATCACTTTATAGAAAATCATCAGTGCAGATGCACAGCTATCAAACCCAGAGAGAGCCCCTACAGATGAGGTTAGAATGGAGAAAACTGTTTTTTCTGGGCTCTAGGGATTATTTCTGCCCAGAGTTCTGCAACATCTAAAAAGAAGAATGACATAGAGATTTAAAATCAAAACATGACCGGTGCACCCTGTTAGACATCCTCTATTCTCACCTTACTCACTCAGGATCAGTCTCATGTACCTGATTACACCTTCAAATAAATTCCAACTTAGAGCTTTGGTTAGAGATTGCTATTTTTGAATTCCCCTTCAGACAGCTATTTGATTGAATAATATGAACTGTTTTCTCTCCCCTAGGCTCTTTTCCAAGATTCCTCTTGCTAGGATATGCTTTTATCTTCTTCCTCTCTCCTACCACATACCACCTCCAAAATCCTCTCCTGCTTTCAAGACCATGGAGCTCTGCAATCCGGAAGCCAGCCTCACTCACACCCCCTTGGGGTTCTTGTTTAACACTCATCTCAAAAGCACAATATATAAAACACGGGCAGCCCAATAATTCTTTTGGATATTCACAGGATCTTATAATGTTATTCAGAATGAAGTGTGCTTTGAACCGAGTGATTGCTGAATTGCAAAAAATTGCAGGTTTATCTTTAAGGGAAAAAAACTCAGGTGGACAACCCTGCAGTCAGAGACCAGGTCAGCAGCCAACCTGTCATGAAAACATGAATGTACACTTTATTTAATAAAAATTTACAGATTTACAAATGCCACATAAATAATTTTCTACAATAACTGGAGACATAATTCTTTTTAACAGCTTGCCTGGGCTTTAGTCATTTTCTTCTGTGACTCAACTTATATAATTACTTTGCCAACAAGCCCAAGACTGTTTCTTTTTTTAATCCCCACCTGCCTATACAGTTATGTGGCTGTCAAAGAAAATAATTTTCACTTCTAAAAACTCTAAAACAGAGGCTTGATTACTTAACCTAGCTTCCTCATTCCAAACAAACAAAAAAAAGTCACAGGGGAAGAAATATTTCTTTTTTCAACTTTTTCTTTTCTCTTTTCAACTTCTGAAGTTGTTCCCCACACATAACTGAATTTAGAATAAATCTTGGTCAAAGCATACCAGTAAATTAGGGCATAATCATTTTCAGATGATGTGAATTTTAAATGACACATTTAAACACATTAAGAATTAAGTTCAGCCAGGCTCAGTGGCTCAGCCTGTAATCCCGCGCCTTTGGGAGGCTGAGGTGAGTGGATTGCCTGAGCCCACAGGTTCAAGACCTGCCTGGGCAGCGAGACCTCATCTCTACATCAAAAAATCAGCCGGGCGTGGTAGTGCATGCCTGTAATTCCAGCTACTCGGAAGGCTGAGGCGGAAGGATCACCAGAGCCCAGCAGGTCGAGGCTGTGGTGGCCGGGAGCAGCCTCTGCACTCCAGTCTGGGTGGCAGAGTGAGACTCCAACTCAAAAAAAAAAAAAAAGAATTAAGTTATTTCAAGTGAAATAACTCCAGGAGAGCAGTGACAAAGTTTAGCCACATACTATGTTAGGACTCAGGATAGAAAATAAATGAGGCATAGTACCTACCTGAGAAGCTTACAGTCTGGGATATTATATGATAAGTATAGAAACAAACATATACATGTAAACATAATGCATAAATACTGAGCAAGATTATTTAAAATTTATGTGTAGTCATTAGGGCTGGAAACTCTATATTTCAGCACCAAATTGGTTCCAAGTTCAAAAATACACGTTAATCATACTCCCATATCACTAAGGCATAGTTTTGAATGGGGCACATTTCCTTTGACTCTGCAATCAAATAATGGCTTCTGTTGTCATTTCTATGGCAGTAAAATGAAATCAGTCTGTCTCAGTGATGGGGAGGAACACAGCTTGTGAGTGAATGATAGCTAACAACCCTAATGTCAAGTTCCGGGATCGGGAGTAGCTTAACGTGTGCTTTATAAGATCTCTGGAGATGTGGTTACAGGTCAAAGCTCTAACTAAAAACACATTTGCCTATCTGTTGGCAGAATTTCATGTGTGGTGTCATTTCTTATAAGCCATGAAAAATCATTCTCTGGGTCTCAGCCCATGCGCTGAGAGATTTGAGGAGATCGTTTTTTTAAAAAAAGGAAAGAGCACATTCTGATTGATGTGCAGGGCAGACCATCAGTCTCATGGTGAGGGCGGTCAGAGACATCCATGTCCTTTTCATTGTCACTGTCAGAAGCAGGTCCAGAGTACCCTGTTTCTGCCACCTCCTGGCCATGTGGCTTTAAGTAAGTCACTTAACATCCAGACCTTCAGATTATTCATCTGTAAAATGGGATAAAAAATACCACCTTAAGAGGTTGCCACAAAGATCAAAAAATAATGTCTGCAATTCACCTGGCCCAGGGTCCAGAGTAGTACATATGCAATAACTGTTACTTCAAATAAGACGAGCTCAGTCAAAAGACTTGCAATCAAGATTTAAGAAATCCTTGGTTAAAATAACAATAAATAAATAAATAAAATCTCCATATGGGGCTAAAATCACTGGCATCTCCACTTAACAGGTTTTCATGAAATGAAACAAATAGGTCCCGGCATCTCTAATCAAGCAATGTTTGCCTTATGTTGATGCATTCTTTCCACGTCTATAATGAATGTGAAATGTTTGCAAATCCCTTGCTTAAAACCCCTTTATTAAAAAATCCTACTTGCTTTCTCTCTTGTCTGTGGATAATGTCCCTTCACATTTGTCTCTTATGGAATAAGATAAAAGGAAGTTGTCATTGGACTTCCCTGTAGGCTCATCATTTCTGCCTCTGGGAAAGAGATTAAAAGAAAAAAAAAGTCAAAACAGTCCTTCCACTTGCCAGAGCTGATCCTGGGTGCTCCTTACAGAGGCACGCTGTGGGCTTGAGGTGTGACTCCTCCACATCTGCCCCCAAATCCCCAGTGGGTGCTGCCAGGTCTGACTCAGGATGGGTCACGATGGAAGAATGTCACCCTCAGGGAGGCTGGCATCAGGGCAGGTGAGATCGGGATGTTCGGGTGGGCAGGAGGTGGCACCAGACCAGGGGAGGATCCAGGCTATAGATAGGGCTGGAATTCTCTGGAGTCAGGCTGTACTGTAAGAAGGAAAAGCAAGTGTTGACTAAGTGAGACTAAGTCTGATGAGATAAAGGTCAGAGACAGAAGCATTCTCCAGAAAAAGGGATCCCAGGGAGGGAAGCTGCAGAACCTTGCCCTGCAGGGAATACCTGCACATGTTTCCAGGTGTGTGTGTATGTGCCTGTGCTACCACTAGAATGAGAGGAACATCTGAATGTAACTACATTGTGTTTTGGAATTCATTCATATTTAAATAACATACCATGTAGCTTGCCTTTATAGCAACATTCTCTTAAAAAAAAAAATTTGGAAAAATGTCCTCATACTTAACACACATTCACAACCCAACAGTTTGGCTTATCAAGAGAGAAATCAATTCAATAATTATTTATTGAATGCTCGCTTTGTACAAGACACTGGGCAAATGGACTAAAGTTGAAGGAAGAGCTAACAGCAGACCCAAGACTTTAATACCATCATGTTGGCTTGATTGAAATACTTTATTCAATTTCCAAAAAGTCTAAGTCATTTTGACATAACTCAAGTTGTGGACACAATTGCTTGAAGCATGCTTTGCAGAGCTTTCACAAAAATGTTAAATGACAACATTTAAGTTTGTCTATTGCAAAGTGTATCCCTTTTCATCCTAGTAGTCAACTGAAATGGTTCACTGACCTCTTAAACTTGGGGCTTTAATCATTTAATCAATGCACACAGCATGTTGCCTCCTTATTGATAACGACAATAAAACCTGAAGTTTTAGCACCATTCATTCCTCTAGTCAACACATTTATTGAGCAACCACTACAGGCAATATCAGTTGAAAGAATAAACACAGTACGTGTGGGCACAGAGCAGTGAACAGTCAGAAGGCAAAGCTGCTAAAACAACGATAATGTTCAACTCAAAAATAGCCCTTCTCCATGTTAAAGAGGACTTATTTCCTGAATCAGAAAAAAAAAAAACTATGCAACATTCTAAAGACAAGGATAAAAATTCTTGAAGCTGGGCATGGTGACTCATGCCCGTAATCCCAGTTCTTCGAGAGGAAGAGGCAAGAGAATTGTCTGAGCCCAGGGTTCGAGACCAGCCTGGGCAACTTGGCGAGACCTCATCTCTACAATAAATCAAAAAATCAGCCGGGCATGGTGACACATGCCTGTGGTTCCAGCTACTTGGAAGGCTGAAGTGGCAGCATTTCCTGAGCCCAGCAGGTCAATGCTACAGTGGCCGTGAGCAAGCCACTGCACTTCAGCCTGGGCAACAGAGTGAGACTTCAACTCCCCCCCAAAAATTATTTAAAATAAAATCTTTGAAAATTCAGATTCCAGTATAAATCTGGAAAAGGTTTTTATCCCCCATTCCCTAGTGTTCTCACAACTGCATCTGAAACTATATTCCACTAAAAGACTAGGTCATGACTGGATGATTTCTACTGGGTTTTCTAAAGGAAACAACCAGGAAAGGTAAGTGAAGGACTTTAACAAGCTTAAGGCATAGGCAGAATTATTTATTAATCTATCCATTCAGCAATTACCTACAATCTTCCTACTGCGTATAAGACATTGGGTCGTGCTGAAAATACAGACAACAGCATAATTCGGAGAAGAAAAATTCCTTATGACAAGCTAACTCTACTCCACCCAGTTTTCTTTTTCATATAACAAATATTTAATGGAAATGATTATTCAATTATTTCTATATCAATGAATTTTCATTATATATAAATCATGTATTTGTTCAGCTGGCCAAAAAGTGGGGGGAGGCACCCTATTCTCAGTGGAGAAAGTGAACTTTTCAACCGCAACACCCACCCCACGGCCTATAAAAGGTTGCCTTTCTGGCTTATTGACATCTCTTCCTCTCGGGTAGTGGCCACTTCCCCAGGCTATGGATCTCTCCAGCAGCACCACGTCACTCTCAGTGCGTGCCCCTGGACTGTCCCGACGGCTGTCCTCGCAGAGTGGAATGGCAGGCAGACCTAGGGGCATGTCTGCTTCCAGTGTAGGAAGCAGCTATGGAGGATGCGCCTTTGGACTTGGAGCCGGCTATGGGGGAGGGTTTTCAGCTGCTTCCATGTTTGGTTCTAGTTCTGGCTTTGGTGGTGGCTCTGGAAGTTCCTTTGCAGGGGGACTGGGCAGCTCCATAGCAGGGGGACTGGGCAGTGGTTATGGGAGAGCCCTCGGGGGAGGTGGCTTTGGGGGCCTGGGGATGGGATTTGGGGGAGGCCCAGGGGATGCCTCCCTAGGTATCGTCTCTGGCAATGATGGAGGCCTTCTTTCTGGATCAGAAAAAGAAACCATGCAAAATCTTAATGATAGATTAGCTTCCTACTTGGATAAGGTTCGCGCTCTAGAGGAGGCAAACACTGAGCTAGAAAACAAAATTCGAGAGTGGTATGAAACACAAGGAACGGGAACGGGGGACCCTGCATCACAGAATGATTACAGCAAATATTACCCGTTGATTGAAGACCTCAGGAATAAGGTAAGAAGATGTCTTTCAGGGGGGCTTTGGGAATTACTTTTCTTTTTTTTTTTTTTTAACTATTGCAAGATTTTACTATGATAATCACCTACACCTTAGATATTTTTCAACGGGACTGTACCTAGAACAATTTTCTCATCCCAGAATGTTTCCATTTAATCATTCACCATAAAGTTTCCATGTTCCCAACCATCTTTCTGTAGGAAATGTATGTTTCTTTATTTTTCAATATTGTTTTATAAATATATTTTATTCGAGAGATGAAACAGTCTTAATAAACTCTTAAGAAAGCAGCATTTAACGTCACCGTTTTGACTTCTCTGTCCAAAATACGTTTGTATAACACGAACATCTTAAAGACTCCATCTTGTGTCTCTCCCCCTCCTGGTCAGATCATTTCTGCCAGCATTGGAAACGCCCAGCTCATCTTGCAGATCGACAATGCGAGGCTGGCAGCCGAGGACTTCAGAATGAAGTAAGTAGAAGGGACTGACGGCCACGGACATGTCCCACCGTTTCTTCTTATCCCGTCTTGTCCTGCCTTCGTTGACAGCAAACACATCACATCTTCTGAGGTTCACATGCTCCATACAGTGAGTGTTTTGGTAAATTCACACAGACCATTCCAGAATGAAACAATGAGCATCGAATGCAATTCACAGTACACGTCCTTAAATTATAAGTTGCTTAAGCCTAAGGCTGTGGGTCACCACATTTGTAAATGAGCTATTGACTCATGATGCGACCAACACCATTACTCCACCAGTGTCCTGAACGTCAATGTCCAATGTATCGAAATGAATTAGTAATTTCAATTATGAATTAAAGGTGTTAGATGGAACCATTTATTTTCCTGGTGACACATACAACTGAATTAACCGTACACTTCATTTTACGTTCTCTCATCCTTTCCTGTACCCCACTCTCCCAGACATAGGTAAGAAAAACTAATTTTCTTTTTGTTCCACAAAATGTCTGCACAGGAAGTTGCCACGGCAATGGTCCTGAGCCTGTAAAATCTTGGTTTAAAGCCACTAACAGAGTATCAGTGCTTTAAATTAAATCATGAAGAAAGTTAAGCTAAAAGAACAACTTGTTTTATCTTTAGCTGCTTTTAGAAATTCCATTTAGGGTGGGGCTGCAGCTCCTTAAAGTCATGGCAGCTAGCTTGTGGGGATCTTGTTCCCCAGGTTGCTATGAAGTGGGGCTCACAGTTGATAGAAAAGCATTGCCTCAAATTTTCTTTGCTTTTCTTCTCTCCAACTGAGCTATGGTGATTAAAAAAGCCAAGGAAGTCCAGGCGTGGTGGCTCACGCCTATAATCCCAGCACTTTGGGAGACCTAGGTGAGAGGATTGCCTGAGCCCACGGGTTTGAGACCAGCCTGGGCAACTTGGCAAGACTTCATCTCTACAATAAATCAAAAAATTAGCCAGGCATGGTGGTGCGTGCATGTAATTCCAGCTACTTAGAAGGCTAAGGCAGAAGGATCACCTGAGCCCAGCAGGTCGAGGCTGCATGAGCATGCCACTGCACTCCAGCCTGAGCAACAAACAGAGTGAGACTCCAACTCAAAAAAAAAGCAAAGGAAAAGTGACAAAAGCAAAAACTGCAGGACACACTGCAATGCTGGTGCTATTATTAAATGGTTGCACAGATTTAAGCATGGCATAGCCCTGGAGATCGACAGCGGCCTTGTTCAAATGGCTGTGCTGATTCTCTGAACTTGGTTTTCAGGTATGAGAACGAGCTCGCCCTGCGTCAGAGCGTGGAGGCCGACATCAACGGCCTGCGCCGGGTGCTGGATGAGCTGACCCTGACCAGGAGCGACCTGGAGATGCAGATTGAAAGCCTGAACGAGGAGCTAGCCTACATGAAGAAGAATCATGAGGAGGTCAGTCAGAGAGGACAGCCTCACTCAGAGGCCTTTTCCTCTCCCAGACACCCAAATTGCAATTTCAAATTTAAAAATCTAGAGTTAGGACAAATATGGAGGATACGTTATCTCCCTGTTCAAGTGGCCATTTATTTTGGATTTCTGTGTGATGTGCATGTGGTGACGGTGGTGGTGCTGATGGTGGTTCCTGCTAAGGCTTAACTAATTAGAGGCATTTTCTGATTTTGTCATTTGCACTATAAATTAATGACAATAAGGATTTTAATTGTCCTGACTTAGCAATTTATTTTATATTTTTATACTTTAGATTAGAAAATATAGTTTATTTAGAAAGTAAATTAGAGATAGAGGAGCTTCAACTCCCCAAGGTAGGGGAGGGGCCAAAGTTAGGAAGCAATGGTGACAAATTAGAAAGAGATTCACCTCTCCAAGGTAGGGGAGAGGGCCAAAGCAAGGAAGTGTGGGGACAACCATAGCTCAAAGACCACATGGCCACACCAGAGTCTAGTAAGGCTTTTTAAAAAATATATAGTATTTCAAAAGTTGAAAAACAGATCTGCCAATAACATGTAACATTATTTATGCTAGAGAAATTGGTTATACTCAGCGTAATACACACACACACAACTCTGATGTGCTGCAGTGTTTATCAAATAACAGACACTGCTTCCAAAGAAATTTCTGCTGGATTTCAATGACTGTGGTATGGTGTGCACGCCTAGGTACTGCTTATAGCCCTTGATTTGGCAGGTGAAGGTGAAACCCTGCAAGCTTCCTTTCACGAAAAGAATGTGATCTCTCAAGAAGGAAACCAACTCATCCTTGAGGCACAGTAGACACAGCCCCTAGGGTGTGTGATCATTTTAGGGACCCATGGATATGTCTTATGATCTTGTAAAATCGAAGAAAAATACGAAATTTTAGGTTGAAACATGTTTTCATACATTGCTTTAATATATTTATTTTTATATCAATGCAGTCATAAAAGAGAATTTTTTTTTTCTTGAGTTGGAGTCTCACTCTGTCGCCCAGGCTGGAGAGCTGTGGCACACTCCAGGCTACGGCATCCTCCACCTGCTGGGCTCAGGCAACCCTTCCACCTCAGCCTTCCAAGTAGCTGAACTACAGGCATGCACCACCAAGCCGGGCTAATTTTTTTTGATTTATTGTAGAGACGAGGTCTCACCAAGTTGCTCAGGTTGTTATCGAACCTCTGGCCTCAGGCAATCCTCTCGCCTTAGCCTCCCAAAGTGCTTGAGCCACTGCGTCCGGCCCATAAAAGAGAATTTTTCATTGTGTATGTGTGTGAGTGTGAGTATGGGCAAAAGTACCCAGGGCCCACGGAAGTCACCACGGGCCCCTGCGCCCCTCTCTCACGCGCTGTCCCCAGGAGCTCCAAAGCTTCCGGGTGGGTGGCCCAGGCGAGGTCAGCGTAGAAATGGACGCTGCCCCCGGAGTGGACCTCACCAGGCTCCTCAACGATATGAGGGCGCAGTACGAAGCCATTGCCGAGCAGAACCGGAAGGACGCGGAAGCCTGGTTCATCGAGAAGGTAACGCGCACACAAGCCAGGCTTGGCTACATTCGCTGGCGGGGGGTGGGGGGGGGATGGGAGTGGGGTATCCGCGATCGAGCGCGGCGCCGGAGCTCCCCTTTGCTGTTGTAGAGCGGGGAGCTCCGGAAGGAGATCAGCACCAACACCGAGCAGCTCCAGTCCAGCAAGAGCGAGGTCACCGACCTGAGGCGCGCGGTCCAAAACCTGGAGATCGAGCTCCAGTCCCAGCTGGCCATGGTAGGCCCGCGTGCGCGCGCGCGCGCGATCCGGTCTCGGTCGCTAAGGGAGGCATTGCCCCCAATGATGTCAGACCTTGGGCTGCCCTCCATTGTTATGTCTGCCCCATTTCCCTCCCGCGTGCAGAAGAAATCCCTGGAGGACTCACTGGCGGAAGCCGAGGGCGAGTACTGCGGGCAGCTGGCCCAGGTGCAACAGCTCATTGGCAGCCTGGAGGCGCAGCTGCTGCAGGTGCGCTCGGATGCCGAGCGCCAGAACGCGGACCACCAGCGCCTGCTGGACGTCAAGGCCCGCCTGGAGCTGGAGATTGAGACCTACCGCCGCCTGCTGGACGGCGAGGCCCAAGGGTGAATAGACAAGGAGGGGGATAGAGGTCGACTTTTAGGAGACTCAACAGTGGACTCCAGAGGCAGTTTTTGCTGCAACGGAAGGTTCTTTGGTTGACAGAAAGTCACAAATCTAGGAAAGCTATGCCTGGGATTTACTAAATGCTCTGCACTTTGCGAAGTGTTTTCACCCATTATCTTACTTGATAACAGTTCATAAAATGCTGTGACGAACAAAGGCACCACAGTCAGTTATTGTGAATGAGTATTTCCATGTACTGGAGAAATCACCCGTTCCGTTTCTGTTATCAGTGACCCGGTGTTAAGAATGACACACTGAATAGCAGCCATCAGAAGGGCTTGCATAGCAAAGTTTCCAAAAGTAATAGCAGTCTGGACTAGCGGGAAGAACTCAGGATTGTAAATTGGGATATCTAATTTCTGAGACCAGATCTTCCAGTGACTGCCAGGCTGCTTCGCTCTGTGATGTCACCTCCTTCGTTTTCTTACAGGGATGGCCTGGATGAAAGTTTATTACTTGTGACAGACTCCAAGTCTCAAGCACAGTCAATTGATTCCTCTATAGGTATGCAGACTCCCTAAGAACCACTTTTAAAAAGTCAGAATTCTATTTATTAATGACTCAATCTATAAAATCTCATTTAATTAATTGCATTGTAATCAATAATTTAAATTTAAAGTATATTTATATTCTGAGCCAAGGAAAAAGGTTTGTGCATTCCTACAGCAAAATAAGAGTCTGTACCGTATTAAAATGTTTGCCGTTAGGCACGGTGGCTCACGCCTGTAATCCCAGCACTCTGGAGGCGGAAGCAAGAGGATTGCCTGAACCCAGGGGTTTGAGAGTAGCCTGAGCAGCTTGGCCAGACCTCATCTCTACAATAAATCAAAAATTAGTCAGGCGTGGTGGCATGCGCCTGTAGTCCCAGCTACTTGGAAGGCTGAGGTGGAAGGATTCCCTGAGCCCAGCACGTCGAGGCTGCAGTAGCTGTGATCACGCCACTGCTCTCCAGCCTGGGTGACAGAGTGAGACTCTGACTCAAAAAAAATTTGTAGCCGGGCTCGGTGGCTCAGCCTGTAATCCCGCGCCTTTGGGAGGCTGAGGTGAGTGGATTGCCTGAGCCCGCGGGTTCGAGCCCCGCCTGGGCAGCGAGACCTCATCTCTACAATAAATCAAAAAATCAGCCGGGCGTGGTAGCGTGTGCCTGTAATTCCGGCTCCTCGGAAGGCTGAGGCGGAAGGATCACCGGAGCCCAGCAGGTTGAGGTTGCAGTGGCCGGGAGCGGCCACTGCACTCCAGTCTGGGCGACAGAGTGAGACTCCAACTCAAAAAAAAAAAAAAAAAAAGGTTGCCAACCCCGGGAAGGAAAAAATCCTACTCTATTACAAAGTATTATGACTACCATAATTACCTTTGAATTTTTTTAAATTTTAATTTGTGCACAACACTGAATATATTTCATTTTCACTGGATAAAACACATTTTTAAGACTGTAGCAGCCACTTTTGAAAGCATAAATTAATTGATGGGTTGCATCAACCAATATCCAATTTAGACACTTAAATTAAACAACAACCAATTTTGGATTAATATTTGAAGCACTAATTTTTCCTTGCTGTGTTCCATTTTTATCTTTAGACTCATCCAAAACCCGAAAAATCAAGACAGTTGTGCAGGAGATGGTGAATGGTGAGGTGGTCTCATCTCAAGTCCAGGAAATTGAAGAACTAATGTAAAATTTTAGATCTGCCCCATGATTGGTTACTTAGAATTGAGAAATTTACAAGTAGAAGTTATGCCCTTCAGAGTAAGATGCTATATTAGTTCAGTCTCTCTTTTTGTGTTTCCTTTTCTTTGGATTCCCCACTCACATTGAGTCCTTTTTGCCCTTCTGAAACAAGTTTTAATCACAAGTCATTGTGGCCATGTGGGTCTTTATAACAAACCAAAATTATCTTACATCTTTCTGGATCTGGAATAGTCTTTTTAGGAACTTTCTTCTGGGTGACCTGGAATATTTTTTTAATCATAAAGCTTTAATCAAGTAGTACTGTTTTAAAATAGTTCATTTTAATAAAAGATGAACAGTAATAATGTGAAATGTCTGCCTTCTTGACCCCAACAATAATGTCAAGGGCATAGAAAGAGGTTTCTGTAAAAGTAATAATAAAGTAGATAAACTCTGGGACAAAGATGTTGAGGCTGGAGATAGTTAAGATGATTATTTTAGAAGTTCTGTCCTTTTAAAATCAGCACATCAAGGTTGTAGCTAATTTATACCATCCACTACAGGGGATACCAGCTGTCCTGTTCATTTCCTAGCACTTTCTTTCATGCATGAAAGAAACACCAAGTGCCAGGTTGGAGATTCAAGGATGAATACAATATGGTCCTTGCCTTGAGGAGCTCACAGTTGTGGGCAGGAACATTTGAGGGTAGACAGACACCTACCAGGAATGGTGACACAATGAGAGAGGTCAAATGGAAGCTCAAAGGTCATGTTTCAATCTGACAGATGAACGGTTTGTCATGGGGCCATGAAATGCTGCATACAGAAATCAGCCAGGCATAAGGGAGAATGGAAATGGGAAAAATACACACGAACAGACACAGGGGTGTGAGTGAGCATGGCTTTGCTCTCCTTTCTCCCATCTGGTCACAATGAGGCCTATGATGGGTCAGACCCACAAGTCAGTAAGAGAAGTCATGTTCTTTGTGAGATTAGAAGACAAAATCTGTTGGGAGCCGGCCACGGAGGCCCACTGAGCATTAGGGATCAGGGAGGGCCGTAGACCCCGAGACCGCGAGGACGTGTTCGGGAGCCATAGACCCCATTTTTCTCCCCCTTTTGCCATGTAGCACAAAAACAACCTAACGGAACTCTGCTGGCCTAAGCTGAAGGCTCTGTGACGGTGACAGGCATAGCTCACTCTAGAAACCCATTGTTCCTGTTTTCCATAAACTGTGGTTTAGGCTTAGGTATTAGATATAATTCAAATTTAGGTCACATTTGGGAGCCTTTTATAGGGTACAAGCTTCTTTATAAGATTTAAAAGAATATTTGTAGAATTAGTATATACTTATGGAGAGCTGTTTTCAGCTTTTCAATGGTATAAATGATTATCAAGAGTGGCCCAGCACAGAGTTTGGGCTGGGTCACATTCCTAAGAGCCCAGCACGTACTTTGGACTGGGGCTGCATTCTTTTAGGCTGGCTTTAACTACAGTTAGTGTAAGG